TTGCCAATTGATGTGAATTAGCACTTGGTATTAGTCTAAAATTCATACTGTAATAAATTGTTGGTTATAATATTTTATGCGATGTTAATTGAAATGGTTTGTTAAATAACAAGCTAAAAATTTTATTCGTGCCTATTATAATAGAAATTTAATTATTAATATTTTTAATATTTTAAAAATAGTTAATATTTATTTAAACTTAAAGAAATATGAAATTAATAATTTACTAAATTTATAGGTTTGTATAAATAGAAGTTAAATATGACATCAAAGTTATTTATTATGTTTAAGTAAATATCTAATTTAGTTGCTATCATATTAGATTTAAAATAACATATTTAGTTTAAACAGAGATAGATGCCTCAAATTAGATATAACAGAATCTGATTAAATGACCGAATAATTCTGTTAAACTTGGTGCAAACAATAAATAATTTTTTATTTAGATTAATTATATCATAAATTTGTTTCTTTTACTTAATAGATTTAATATTAAAATGATTACATTATTTATAATAGCAAATTAAATTATATACGTATTTATCGTTTATTAATAAAATTTATAATTTGCCATGCTCCTGCAGAGGTGGCTCCAATTGTCCCAAACCAACAATACACACATAACGCGGCTTATTGTTGCCAAAACCTGAGCCCACGGACTACTGTAGACCAGACATGTATTCATCACAATCCCTGACCACATGCATAAAAGTTAGTCCACTTAACCGCTCAATCCGTGTTTAAAATAGCAAATTTAATTATTTATTTATTGCTCATTAATAACATTTACAATTTGCCATGCTCATAACAAGGTGGCATTACTTGTCCGTTTCTTTATCCAATTAGCCAACAATTCGCGCCATCCAAAAAATATGTACCCGTTATGCATAACACCGACGCCCGACTCGTCAAACGTGTCACCCGTTGCCGACGACTCGCCGTATCGACTATCATAGACTGGCTTCGGGGTAGTGGTGTCGTAGGCCTTCAGTTCGTTCAGCACATCCTCGGCACTGATGTCGACAAAAGTCTGACGGGTTTCGGCGGCGACTGCTGTGAAGGTCGGCGCCGAAAACACAAAGTCGATAGCGTCGGCCACCACTTCCCGGTTGTCTGGACGCACGTAATGACACAAAAGCCTCGCCGACGGCGCCATTTGAGGCACAGTCGCGACACTAAACTCATAGCCGCCCGTAATATTAGTGGGAATGTCAAAACTCTTAGCCCACGCTATGTCTCGCCTACCCATCACTTCGCAGACAAGCCGTACGATAGGTTCGGTCGCATTCGCCACGAATTTTACGTCTTGTCCGATGACAGCGATGTCGGCTGTAGTGTCCGCGCGGATCACTTGCAAGTAGTGCCCGGCGCTGGTCATAGCCTTCGCAGGCACTTCTAAATCATACGTGTGTCCCATATATTCGGCTTTAATCACCATTTGGTCAATATCTCTGGGCGTAAACACATCAAACTTAATGAGTCCATTAATTGGCGACAACATTAACACTTTCCATTCACTCTCATTCAATGAATAGCCGTATTTGAGTTTGAGTTGCGGTCCGCTATCGGCCACTGGTTTGTTGTCTTGTGTGACCACTTTGACGACAAACGTGTTTTTCATCCCCCGTTTGTATGTGTTGTACGTTTTTATCAGCTCTACCTTCGCATCCCTGTCGTATATCTTCATTGTATGGGTTTTGTTGTACTGCTTTCCGGTCAACGTTTCCCTCACTTGTGCCGTGAATTTAAATTCAATCCCATTGTGTACTAAGTGTTTATTGTGTGGCGTCAAGTCCTTTATTGCCTCATCGAGTGCTAAATCCTCTATTAAATTGACGGTCAAAGTAGCGCTTCCGTCGATCGTAGTCTTTATCCGATATGTACCTATTCCTAAGTTACGCGTAGAATAATACATGAATGTAATAATATTATATATACATGTGCATAATTATATTAATTTATAATAAAGCTGTACTCTGGATGTACTCTAAATCTTTGGCCTGAACGCTATAAGTGAGGTCTCCTTTAACAGCCTTCCCATTGGTATCAATTGCTTTAACAGTTGCCACCACTTCTGAGGACAGATGTGTTGTCACATACGATGGCAACACTACCTCCACGTCAAACGTGGGCAACACATCCTCGTCGGCGACAACAGTGAATGTCTTAGTGGTGTTGTGTCTGAACGCCGTCACACCTATAGTCCAGTGGCCCAACACTGGCTGTGCCGACAGTTGCAGCTCTTGAGAGATGACACCGTTTTTCGCATATAATTTTGTCCATTCAATGATACGCTTTCCGTTACCGTTCTATCAATTCATATGAAAGTTATGAAATTAAACTCATTTCCAAATTGAAAAATTTTGAAATACCTCAATATGTATATCAATAGACACATTGTCTTTAGGAACCAGCGATGGGTTGACCACAACAGCCCTGAACTGCACTTTCTGTCCGGGTTTATACGTGGCTTTGTCGGTCTGTATAAATATCGACACACTTTTTGCCACATACTTAAGTGACAATTCATTTAAAAATCCATCCCTTGTTATGGCAACAGTCTCATCGTACTTGGTGAAATTAACACCCTTTCCCTCCACCCGCACCGTATAGTTGCCTTCTGGCCAATCGCCGATCGCTAGGGTTAGCACTTTGGACTCAGGCGTACCCACAGCTACGGCACCGGTGCTGACACTGTGTGCCGGACCGATAACAGTGGCGTTCACTTCGATGGGCGCCGGGATGTCATACAGCGAGACACTAATGTGGTAATCAGTGTTTGGCCGCAACACATTCGGGGCCACCACAACATACATGGGTTTATTTCCATTTGCTCTAATATTTAACAATAATTTATTTTTATAAGTTTTAAAAATTAATTAAATATTTAATTTCATTAAATAATACTAACAAATATGTTGTTGAGATGATTGCCAATAATGTCAGCCATTTCATTGAAAATTGAAAATAATGTTTGATTGCATTTAAACCCATAGTTTAAACACAAAATATTTCAAAACAATTATTGTATTGAAAATACGTTTACAAAATAGAGCTATGCTTACAATGAAAGCAATTCTTTATCTATTTATAATATTTATAAACGTTTACAAACTTATAGTTGATTTACAAAATATTACTGAATTTATATAAAATTTATTTATAAATGATCTGATTTTAATTCACTGTTTTTAATTAATTTAAAAACACTGAAAGTTTCGCAAGTTTTATTTTATTTAATTTATAAAATTGTATGAAATAAGACTTATTTCATACACTTATTTAATAAGTCATATTTTTCTTGTGAATTAATTATCAATTATAAGTTTGTATATTTATATCAATAAATAGAAAATTGTTTTCATTGTAAAAATAGTTTTATTGTGTGGGCATAATATTATTTTCAATACAAAAATTGTTTTGAAATATTTTTTGCTCAAATCATTAGTTTCACTAAAATGAAACATATTTTGCAATTATCTACTAAATGTCTGACATTTTTGGTAATCATCTCAACAACTCAAAAGTTAGTATTAATTAATTAATGCTATTTATATTTAATTAACTTTTAAAACTTATAAAATCAATTATTGTTGAATATAAGGGCAAATGGAGGTAAACCCATGTATGTTGTGGTGGCCCCGAAGGTGTTGCGATCAAACACTGATTACCACATCAGTGTCTCGCTGTATGACATCCCGGCGCCCATTGAAGTTAATGCCAGTGTTATCGGTCCGGCACACAGTGTCAGCACCGGTGCCGTAGCTGTGGGTACGGCTGAGTCCAAAGTGCTAACCCTAGCGATTGGCGATTGGACAGAAGGCAGGTATAGGGTGCAAGTAGAGGGAAAGGGCGCTAATTTCATCAATGACGATGAACCTTGGCACATTACAAGGGATGGATTTTTAGATAAAATGTTTCCTTATTATGAGGCAAAATGTTTGTCGGTATTCATACAGACAGACAAAGCCACGTATAAACCCGGACAGAAAGTACAGTTTAGGGCTGTTGTGGTCAACCCATCGCTGATTCCTAAAGACAATGTTCCCATTGATATATATATTGAGGTATTTATAATCATACAGTTTGAAAATGAAATGTTATTTCATAACGATATGCATTGATAGGACGGTAACGGAAAGCGTGTCATTGAATGGACAAAATTGTATGCGAAAAACGGTGTCATCGCTGAAGAGCTGCAACTGTCGGCACAGCCAGTGTTGGGCCACTGGACTATAGGTGTGACGGCGTGCAGACACAACACCACTAAGACATTCACTGTCGTCGACGATATGTTTCCCACGTTTGACGTGGAGGTAGTGTTGCCAACATATGTGACCCGAAATCGGTCAGAAGTGGTCGCACTTATTAAGGCATTTGATACCAATGGGAAGGCTATTAAGGGAGAGCTTACTCTTATTGCTCGGACCATCAATTTTTATAGACCGAGTATAGATTTATTATAAATAATATATATAATTACGCAAATATATTACTTAATTAATTTTACTCAATTATAATCAATACTAATAATAAGAGAAACAAAGTTTTACATATCATTTGACTATCATGACTAGGGCTTTAATATCAATACTACTAAATAATAAGTATATTAAAAAAGCGTATGTTTGTGAAATTGGTTGTTAATTATTATGGCTAGAAAAAAGTGACACTTTGGTGACAAAAAATATATAGTCTGTCCCGCATTTAGCAGAATCACTCGGTGAGTTTACTTCTATTCTGTTATAGCCGGTTTTCTGTTATTCCCGGTAATAGATTTGTGAACATTTTGCCAAAAATGCGCTTATTTTAACATACTTTACAAAGATAGTGCTGTATTTATATCTAAAAACATGATAGAAGTAACGTTTTATTGTTAAAACACTAATTTTTAAAACAATACACATTATTTCATTAATAGGGTTATTAAAAATACGAAAATGAATAGTTTTTACCATAACTATATTTGTGTTTAACCTTTTTCCGTTATATGTGGAGCTGTTTAACACTACACGTGCATGACTTTACTGTCTGATATATGCGGTATTCTGTTATAACTAGCGTTGCCAGACGTCCAGGAACGTCCTGGATTATCCAGGAAATGGACAATTTTTGCAGAGTCCAGGGAGGGGTCATTCCTGGACATTGACAAATCCAGGAAGTAAATTTAGGGTAAATGAGCTGTAGAAGTAGTATTTAACAAACTATTGGTTTAGTTTTGTTATGTTTTTAATGAGATTTATATATATCGCTAACAAAAGTAGTGTAGGCATTAATATAACTATTTGTAAACTATACATGTATGTAATCATTATAAAACCTTTTGAAATAGACGTTATATTAAAACATTTAATAAAAAAATATCAACACATGTATTTTTGCAATGACTGACAATTCAAATCCAGAAAAATCCAGGAAATTTGCGCAATATTGTCCAATTTTCTAGGAAATGCCTAAGTATTTCTAACAACGCTAGTTATAACCGATTCTGCTATTAGTGGTGCAAATATGGTTATACTCCCATAGGAGCTGCCGGTGCAGCAAAAATATTCGGCTATAGGCGGTTTTACGTTATATGTGGGACCGATAAATGCGGTGCAGACTGTATATTAAAGTGTAATTTTGTATGTTTTGCACCTTAATCTAATACTTTTAACGTAAAAGCACATAAATGAATTATGTTAAAATATGCATTAAAAATATCATTTCTAGCCTTGTTAATTATAAGCCGTTCTATCGAGCTATTAAAGTCCTCGTAATTAATAATTAATAAGTCTTATTAATACATTACTGGATAATCATTTAGTCGAGCACTGCCGCCCTCTTTCATACATTACGTGTCACGTGTCATTTGTACAGTTACTACAGAGTGCTCGACTAAATGTATGCGCGAATAAATGATTATGTAGTTAATGTCATTAATCACTACTCATTATTCTATGTCTTACTTCAGGTAAATTCCTTACAAAGACTGCGATCGATGGAAGCGCTAATTTGACCATCAGTTTAGCAGACGATTTACTATATAAAGTACATGTAAACAATATGCCCCGAGAGTTTGCAGTGACGGCAGTAGTGAGGGATGCGTTGACCGGAAAGCAGTGCAACCGAACCAATACAGTGAAGGCATACGAAAGGGATTTGAAGTTTGAAGTGATAGCGCCGTTGAACGCATACAAACCGGGGCTCAAAAACACGTTTGTCGTCAAAGTTTGCACACAAGACGGCAAACCTGTGGCCGATAGCGGACCGCAACTCAAACTCAAATACGGCTATTCATGGAATGACAATAAATGGACAGACAGTCCATTACTGTTGTGGCCAACCAATGGATTCATTAAGTTTGATATTATTCCGCCCAGAGATATGGGAATAAACGAATTGGTAGTTAAAACCGAATATATGGGACACACGTATGCTTTAGATATTAAGAGAGCTACGACCCGGTCCGGGCACTACATGCAAGTGATCCGTTTGGACACAACCGACATCACTGTCGGACAGGACGTGAAATTTGTGGTGAATGCGACCGAACCTATCGTACGATTGGTGTGCGAAGTGCTGGGAAAGGGAGACATAGCGTGGGCTAAAAGTTTTGACATTCCCGCCAATACTACGGCCGGCTATGAGTTTAGTGTCGCGACTGTGCCTCAAATGGCGCCGTCGGCACGGGTTCTGTGCCATTACGTGCGGCCCTCCGACCAGGAGGTGGTGGCCGACGATATCGACTTCGATGTGTTGCCAGTGATTGGCACGCCTTTCACAGTGAACGCCGACACCCGTCACACCAGTCCGGGAGAGTTTGGCTGCGTTGGGCTCAACACTAGTGACAACCCGTTTGTCGACATCAGTCGTGAGGATGTGCTGAACGAACTGAAGACATACGTCAGGACTACACGCAATTCACCCTCTTATGGGATGAGAGGGCGTTGGCACTCAACTCGAATCACGTTTGTCGATGCGGGCGTTGAAGTGATGCACAACGGGTTCATTGAACATGGTTAAGTAAATAATTAAAATATTGCAACCAACAAATGTTAAAAATAACTAATAAATGATTTATAATTATATTATAAAATTTTATTTATGGTCCGAAACTGTACATAAAAATATAATTTTTAACCACAATTCAGCTGTTAATAATGTGGTTTATAGGATCGTTCGGCCCATCTCCCTTCCTCCCGCGCTCTATGGGATTACAGCTTGAGTCTATGGCTATATTACACTAGAATTCAATTGCTTTTAGTTTATGATCAAATGATTTTTACTCACGCTCGCTTTCGGTCAAATCATTTTTACGTTCAGTCAATTCATTATTACATGAGTCAGTGTTGTATTGAAAGCACTGCGACAACAATCGAATGAAACGTCGCACTCTTTTAATGACTGCATTGATTGCATACAACTAGACTGACCAGATGAGTATATGACAATCCTGGATTTTGGGCTAAAATCAGCCCTATAATCCTGGATTCCTGGACATTTTAGTAATTTTAGCTTCTTAAACCTGGACGCCTCCATAGACATANATCCAGGATTATAGGGCTGATTTTAGCCCAAAATCCAGGATTGTCATATACTCATCTGGTCAGTCTAGTTGTATGCAATCAATGCAGTCATTAAAAGAGTGCGACGTTTCATTCGATTGTTGTCGCAGTGCTTTCAATACAACACTGACTCATGTAATAATGAATTGACTGAACGTAAAAATGATTTGACCGAAGGCGAGCGTGAGTAAAAATCATTTGATCATAAACTAAAAGCAATTGAATTCTAGTGTATAACATTATTAATTCAAAGTCTATGGCAATGCTAATCCAGGATTGGCGACTGATCAATTAATCTCTATAAATCCGTTCATAATGGGGAGGTATTTATTATGGAGAGGTTTACCTAAGAGACAACATTATAAGTATAGGAAATCCAACATATATTGCAAAACCGTTTATTATGATAAGGTTCATCCATGAGAAGTTTACCCAAGAGAAGTTGGACTGTATTAACTTGGGCTAAAATAATCTAAGCGTTAAAACAGGTTAATATTTGCTTTGAACATTTGAACAATTTAACTATGTATAATTAGCAAATATTAAGGCCTATGACTCAATTTAGATATTCAACATTTTATAGTATAAGTTAGTTATATTAAATTCAATAATAATTAAATTATTTATCGTTTATTAATAACAATTACAATTTGCCATGCTCATACGGAGGTGGCTCTAATTGTCCCAACCTCTATAGCGCCGCGCAATAAATATAAACCCGTTATGCATAACACCGACACCCGAGTCGTCAAACGTGTCAACGGTTGCCGACGACCGGCCGTAACGACTATAATAGGATGACTTGCGGGCAGTGGTGTCGTAGGCCTTCAGATCGTTGAACAGATCCTCGGGACTGATGTCGACAAAAGTCTGATTGGTGTCGGCGGCGACGGCTGTGACGGTCGGCGTCCAGAACACAAAGTCGAGAGCGTCGGCCACCACTTCCTGGTTGTCTGGACGCACGTAATGACACAAAAGCCTCGCCGACGGCGCCATTAGAGGCACAGTCGCGACATTGAACTCATAACCGGTGCTATTATTGGTGGGAATGTCAAAACTTTTAGCCCACGCTATGTCTCCCCTTCCCATCACTTCGCACACAAGTTGTCCGATAGGTTCGGTAGCATTTGCCATGAATTTTACGTCCCGTCCGACAGCGATGTTAACTGTAGTGTCAGAACAAAGCACTTGCAAGTAGTGCCCGGATTTTGTGCTAGCCTTTGTAGTTTCAATATCATACGTGTGTCCCATATATTCGGCTTTAACTACCATTGAGTCTATATCTCTGGGCGGAAACACATCAAACTTAATGAGTCCATTGGTTGGCGACAACAGTAACGGACTGTCTTTGCATTCTTTCCATTCACTCCCATTCAATGAATAGCCGTATTTGAGTTTGAGTTGCGGCCCGTTTTCCGGCACTGGTTTGTCGTCTTGTGTGACAACTTTAATGACAAACGTGTTTTTTAGTCCCGGTTTGTATGTGTTGGGCGTATTGACCACTTCCAGCTTCACATCCCTGTCGTATATCTTTATTGTATTAGATTTGTTATACTGTTTTCCGGTCACTGTTTCCACCACTTGTGCCGTGAATTCAATTTCAACGCCAGAGTTCCCGATGTGTTGTTCATTGAGTTCTAACTCTTCTACTAAATTGACGGCTATTGTTGCGCTTCCGTCGATCGTAGCCTTTGTCCGGTATTTGCCTATAAGTCCGGACACAGATGTAAGACATTAATGTATTAGCAGTAGTAATCACTTAAATGGGCACTACTTGAATGAGCACTTTTACCCATATGTAAGCTTTTAATGTACCAAGGTGAAATTATAACAGAGGCCAGTTGTGCTCAATTTAAGTGATTATTACAGTAGTTTATAAGTATAAATGATAAATAAATATAAATCTATACTGTTTTCATGATGATTTTTGGTGCAAACGTTAAGAGTAAGCTCTCCCTTAATAGCCTTCCCATTAGTATCAATTGCTTTAACAGTTGCGACCACTTCTGAGGACCGATTTGTGGTCACATATGTTGGCAACACTACCTCCACATTAAACGTAAGTAAAACATCCTCTGCAGCGACAGTGAATGTCTTTGTGGTGTTTTGTCTGAATGCCGTCACATCTATAGTCCAGTGGCCCAACACTGGCTGTGCTGACAGTTGCAGCTCTTCAGCGATGACACCGTTTTTAGTAAACAATTTTTTCCATTCAATGACAGGCATTCCGTTACCGTCCTATCAATTCATATAAAAGTTATGAAATTAAACTCATTTCCCAATTAAAAATATTATTAAATACCTTAATATGGATATCAATTGGGATATTATTTTGGCGGATCAGCGATGGGTTGAGCACAACAGCCCTGAACTGTACTTTCTGTCCGGGTTTATACGTGGCTTTGTCTGTCTGTATGAATACCGACACACATTTTGCTACATACTTAAGTGACAATTCATTTAAAAATCCATCTCTTGTTATGGCAACTTTTTCATCGTACTTGGTGAAATTAACGCCCTTTCCCTCTACGCGCACCTTATAGCTGCCTTCTGGCCAATCGCCGATCGCTAGGGTTAGCACTTTGGACTCAGCCGTACCGACAGCGACGGCACCGGTGCTGACATTGTGTGCCGGACCGATAACAGTGGCATTAACTTCGATGGGCGCCGGCATGTCATACAGCGAGACACTGATGTGGTAATTAGTGTTTGGCCGCAACACATTCGGGGCCACCACAGCATACATGGGTTTACTTCCATTCGCCCTAATATTCAACAATAATTTATTTTTATAAGTTTTAAAAAATTAATTAAACATTTATTTTCATTAATTAATACTAACAAATGTGTTGTTGAGATGAATGTCAATAATGTCAGCAATTTAATAGAAAATTGAAAATAATTTTTCATTGCGTTTAAACCCATAGTTTAAACACAAATATTTCAAAGTAATTCTTTGATTGAAAATACGTTTACACAATGAAGTTATGCTTACAATGAAAGCAATTCTCTATCTATTTATAATATTTAGAAACGTTTACAAACTTATAACTGATTTACAAAATATGACTGAATTTATATAAAATTTATTTACAAATGATCTCAATTTAATTGACTTTGTTTTTAATTAATTTAAAAACATTAAAAGTTTCGCAACATTTGAAACGTTAGATTCCTGTCTGACAACTAGGATTGCCAACTCATATTGAGCTACGCTTATGAATTAGTCTAGTAATAATTATAATACTGTATTAGGTAAATAAATGTTTACAATCATTCTATCGACTCATGGAAAAGTTCAAGAATTTTTTTAAATCTCAATAAATTTCCAGGAAAATTTTACTTTAATCAAGGAATTTGGAAAAATAACCTGGCAACACAATCCTATCATTTATCATGTTCATATATAGTTGCAAATAATTCTTATTATGTTAAATGGAGACCTGGTCAATGGGGCCACGATTAGCATACATTAGTTAGCATTAAAGGTGGGCATGCTTCTTTTAGTGTTTTAAAATTAATTAAAAAGTATCAATTTATTTTAAATAATTAATAAAATTGTATGAATTAAGCCATATTTTTCTTGTGAACTAGTTATCAGTTATAAGTTTGTAAACTTATATCAATAAATAAATAATTGTTTTCAAGGTAAAAATAGCTTTATTGTAAACATAATATTATTTTCAATACAAAAATTGTTTAAAATATTTTTTGTTCAAATTAGAAGTTGATATGAAATTTTCTATTAAATGTCTGACATTATTGGCAATCATCTCAACAACACAAAAGTTAGTATTAATTAATTGATGCAATTTATATTTAATTAATTTTTAAAACTTATAAAATTTAATTATTGTTGAATATAAGGGCAAATGGAAGTAAACCCATGTATGCTGTGGTGACCCCATATGTGTTGCGGCCAAACACTGATTACCACATCAGTGTCTCGCTGTATGACATCCCGGCGCCCATTGAAGTGAATGCCAGTGTTATCGGTCCGGCACACAGTATTAGCACCGGTGCCGTCGCTGTCGGTACGGCTGAGTCCAAAGTGCTAACCCTAGCGATCGGCGATTGGCCAAAAGGCAACTATAAGGTGCGGGTGGAGGGAAAAGGCGCAAATTTCACCAAGTATGATGATGCTGATGCGATAACAAGCGATGGATTTTTAAATGAAGTGTCACTTAATTATAAGGCAAAATGTGTGTCNACCCTAGCGATCGGCGATTGGCCAAAAGGCAACTATAAGGTGCGGGTGGAGGGAAAAGGCGCAAATTTCACCAAGTATGATGATGCTGATGCGATAACAAGCGATGGATTTTTAAATGAAGTGTCACTTAATTATAAGGCAAAATGTGTGTCGGTATTCATACAGACAGACAAAGCCACGTATAAACCCGGACAGAAAGTACATTTCCGGGCCGTTGTTGTCAACCCATCGCTGATTTCTAAAGACAATGTTCCCATTGATATACATATTAACGTATTTATAATTTTGAGTTTGAAAATGAGTTTAATTTCGTAA